TCAGTTTTAGGCCACTCACTACAAGAAAGGCATTGAGGTGCTGGAACAGATCCAGAGAAGGACAATGGAGCTGAGGAGGCGTCTGGAGCACAAGATTTATGAGGAAGCAGCTCCAGTTTTGACTGGAGAAAATTAGGCTCAGGGGAAATGGTCTCACTCCCTACAACTACCTGGACAAAGATTGTAGGTGGGGGGTGTTGGCCTCTTCTCCCAATTAACAAGAAATAGAACAAGAGGAAAAGGCCTCAGATTTCACCAGGGGAGGTTTAGATTGGATATAAGGAAAAATTTCTTCACCAAAAGGGTTGTCAAGCACTAGAACAACTGCCCAGGAAAGCTGTTGGGTCGCGGTCCCTGGAGGTATTTAAAAGACCTTTAGATGTGGCACTTGGGGATGTGGTTTAGTGGTGGCCTTGGCAGGGCTGGGTTAACAGTTGCACTCACTGACCTTAAAGATCTTTTCCAACCAAAACAATCCTGAGATGCTACATCTGCAAATAGGGCCATGACTCTGCCTTCAGAAGTGAGCTCTGCTGTGATGGGTCAGATGGCCACATGCAGCACCACCACCCCAACCCAATTTTTACAGAGGTCAGCAGTCCAGGCCCACAGGTCCTGGGTGGATGGCCCAGGTCTGGCCACCTCCATCAAAGGGGTACTTACAGATCTGTGTGACCATGAACGCTTCCAGCACAGAGCAGTAATAACTAAAGGGCAAAGAGGTCCCACTTGTAGGATAATGCTGTGGGTCCTTCATGGAGCACCACAGGGATTGCTGGTGCTGCACTTTGCACTGACCCCAACTGCACTTCCTTGGGAAAAAACACTCCTGGATTCACAGCTCTCTGGCCATCTCAGGAACTCACAGATATACAGGAAGCAAAACTGATTGCTTTCATCCTGGCTGGCTACACACACCAAGTGTTACCAGATCATCTTCCCATCCAGTGCTCTGTTTCCATTATGCTTTGCTGTTGACTTTTTTTTTCCACCAACTCCACGAAAAAGCCCCATTTTGGATTGACCAACAGACAACAGATTAATGATCAATCTGGATGTGGAATGGAAACATGCAGTCCAAAGAGCTGAGTTTTGTCTTGAGGCTGGGATTTACACAATGCTTTCTTTACTGGGAGGTTGAGGAGAAGAAATGGTGCTGTATGATATCTTCTGGGATATCTCATATCCCAGAACTCTCAGCAGTAAATCTGTTTCTCCAGAGGCAGAAAAAGGAAGGAGGCAACAGCTAATTATACTCTGTGGGGCAATTTGCTGTTTTATTTCCTGATGTACTCCCTGACTGGTGGAAAATCACTCTTGGCAAACACAAAACTTACCCTGCTTCCAAAAGGTGCATCTCTAAATTATTAATCAAGAGTACACTGAACTGCGAAAGGTGGAATACTGAACAAAGGCTCAATTGACACCCTGGAAGTTGAGGAAGATATGGAAGACTCCCCTCTAATTTATTTATTCCTTTTCTGTTCTGTTATCCTGATATGCTGCTTCCAGTTACCACTGCACCCCACACTGTATGGGATTACGTGATTTTGTTTTCAGATTGTTGGAGATAAAGTTACTTCATTATTAATATATATGCACTGTGCATATCCATAAATATTGAATATATACGTGTGTGTGTGTGTGTGTAAACCCACTGCAAGTGTTAATAGTTAAGATAAACAAAGTCCATTATTGCAATGAGTGACTATTTCTATGACCCTATTTGCAATAAAAGCAGATTCAATGATATGAGAAAATTGCTAGGTTTCAGAATAATTGAACCAGGCCAGATGAATCCCCACAAAGGCATCATTTACAAAGTACTTTGCTTGTCTAAAATATTTATTCCCACAGAAGGAAATGGAAAAAGAGTTCATATGGTTACACGGCTATCCTCTGAGTGTAAAATTGTTTTATCATGTTATGTTTATTTCCTAGACATCTTCCACTGAGGTATTGCAGAAAAAACACTGGCTGTGCAGTTAATTCCTTTGTGTGGACTGTTCATATTCATTCTCTGGGAAGTCAATCATGTTTTGTTTAGGCATGTTTTGTTTTTCTGCTGAGCAAACATTTAAGCAACCCTTTTCTTGTAAAAACTTATTTGCATATACAATGTGCACCATTCAATGTCAGTGCTACACAGAGAGTTGAAATGATTTTGCTTTCTCTCCTATGTAGCATGGGAAGTTGTGGATTTCTTTATTAAAATGTTGGTGTTGCTCTTTAAGACTGCATTATATTGTTCGTGTTTAAGGGCTACATCAGTAGTTATAGATAATTTTAGTTTGTCTTTTTCTGAAAGCCTGGATAGATTTTTACTATTAAATGTTCACAGCAAAATGATTCCAAGCAATCTACAGACAAAGAATTACTCCCAGCAATTATCCACTGAATAAATCTGAATAATGAATGCATTGACAAAAGTCACTATCTATTTGTGAACAATTAGCTGAAAGAAATAGAGGTGACACTCACAAGCTAAATAATTCATTTATGAATTATTTGTCCAGCTTTGTTTCTGATGTCCTTTGCATGAAATGAGATCAAATCTTAGATGAAAAATTACTTTAAAAAGAAGGGCAATATTAAAGGAAATTCTTACAGCTTCTAATGCAGAAATCATCCCACTATAGTAACTATTATTTATTACCAGTGATTTCAGAGGCTAGAGAAGTTATTTTCCTGGGTTCTTTTACTTTAAGCATTGGGCTGTGTTTTATTCCTAACATATATCCAATTTTAGGTTGTTAAACTACAATCAAAAGCACTTAGTACGAATGGAACTGTCCCTGTCATGAGATTTGAACTCCTGGCATCTTTATCCACTGAAACTTGAGTGCTCAGGTAACTACTAATTATTCAAGCATTTACAACCATTACTATCAATATAATTAGCACATCTTGAGATAAAAGTGAGAATGCCACTATGAAATTATCATCCCTGGCATTCAAATAGCAATCTTTCATGAAAACATTTATAAGCTGCCCAATTATTTTTCAATCAAATGAACAAAAAAAAAATGTTTACATTTAAGGGGAATCTAGAACTGAAAAGAAATTTTGGCATGAAGAGTTTCTGGCAGGAAAAATTATAAATTTTGTCTCCATATGTCCATTTCTGGTGGGTTTTTGGGGGTTTTTTTTTGGTTGTTTTTTTTTAATTACCAAAATATCTTTGACCAAATACTTAGAAAACTGTAAAACCTTTCTTTGAACAAAGCCAGGTTCAGTGAAGAAGACATGAAGAAGGTTTTTCATTCAGATCTAAAAGCTGACAAGTGCATTGCCCCACTCTGCAGGAATAAGAGGCTGCACAAGACATCCTCATGTGCCTTGCTGGATTACACTAATAAAAATAAATGAGACAATTCCCATAGACAAAGTCAAAGCTAGATGAGGATTAGAATTTGACTTCCCTAATCCCACCTTCATCAGTTTTGCTGGCCAAGGCAGGCAGGTAAATTCCTTTTTACATGAATTAGTAGTAAGTGATTATCACAACTGGAGGAAGGAGGAGCCACAGAAGCCAGGGACCATGGTTTGACAGGTTTTGTCACCTTCCTGTCTAGGACCTCCTATGAACAAAATTTTAAAGACTGTCCTTTGCCCACCAAAAGCCATCCTAGGTTTCCTGAAATAACTTCTGTGGAACACTTGCAGGACACAGCAGAGAGGGGATTTCACAAGGCCTGCAGCTGTGAGCTGGTTTCAGCATGAGGAAAAGCCCTCCATCACCCCAATGCACAGGAAAGAGAAGGTAAGTTAACTCTCTGCAGGGGACTTTTAGATATGGTGCATTCAGTGGAGAGCCCCAGACCAGCACCATCCATTCTTCTCCACGTGGATGCTGATGTCACTGAGGGCAGGCTTGAGGACAGAGCACCCATGCAGAGGCTGAGCTGCAGGAGGGCAGCAAGTCCTGAGGGGTTTGCTGACCCCACAGCAGCCACAGAAGTCTCTTCTGCTGCTCTGGCCCAGTTTTCTCTGTGGGAGGATCCCAACCCTTTTCATCTACTCACCCATTCCCCAAATCCCTGAAAGGAAGGGAGTAAGTAGTGAAGCCCAGAGAGCAGCTGTGCCCTCTGGTTCCCAGTGTCAGTATGAGCATCTTGCCACCCTCTCTGCCCTGCAGAGCAAGGGCCAGCCTGAACATGACATGGAAATGTCCATCCAACCATCTGCTATAAAACCAAACCATGTTCATTACACATGGCACTGCAAATAAATAGCTCCAGGAAAAGAACAAAAAAAAAAAAAAAAAAAGGCACAAGCTTGTGCTTGCAGGGACAACAAACCAGTATATTTCAGCAATCATGGCAGGTATTTCTAACTAGAAATTGTATATTTGATGATGCTGAGCCTTCAGCATTTGACAAGGGACTGTTAAAGCCTCTTGAACAGTAAATCACCTCTCTTTCTATCAATAATCTTATTATAATATGAGTAGAAATGTCAAATGTTTAAATCCCACTTTATTACTATAATAATGGATTTAATTTGTAAAACATATAAAGTGAGGCCATAACTGTTCTGGAGGGAGATATCTGTCATCCCACTATATTTATATAATTTGCTGGTGACTTTACCCACATATTTTGAATGGAAGGAGGATTAAAAGCAATCCCACTTGAGAGATTTTTGTGATTGGGAATGGATTCTGGAAAGGAAACTAACATGATCACAGAAATGCAGCAATTGCTATTAAAAACACCCCCAATTCACATTCAGGCAGAACAAACACGTAGGTGTTTATCTGTGACTTGCTCCATTCAGTCCCTCTCCTGCTGCCAGAACAGCCCTGCTTCCAGCTGCACAGCCAGTATTATCACTGGGTGCTATTTTTGGTTCCTGAGTACATCTCATCCTTCCCACGCCAGCCCTGGTACAAAGGACACAAACTCTTCTTCCCCCTCCTCATCCTCCTCTCCACTCCAGTCTGCGCGGAGCCGCCACCGGCTCCGTCCCCTTGCTCAGGGGGCTCCTGAAGCTTTTCCCTGCTCCTTCTCAGTTTCTGGGCAAGAGGCTTTCCATCCAAAGCTTCATGTGGGAGGCTTCATGTTGGCATCCAGAGTACATGTCCCAAATATGTCCAGCCTCACTTCCTGATCCTAGTGCCAAAGAGCTGCAGGTAAGTCATCTTCTCATGGGAGATGAAGTCCCTGTGTGCAGTGCCTGCAGCTTTTTACAAATGGCTTGTTTTTAGGGTCATACAATTGCCCAGCTATCACTTTGGTAGGTTTCCAGCTCTTGTCACAGTATGCTAACACCAGATTTCTGTCTGAGGGGGCAGTGTTTTGTTTGTTCTGACAATGTGTAGCTTTGATTTCTGTAAGCTATTAAAGTAGTGAATATCTTCCTTTTTAAGGTCTTCCTTGGCTAGGTGCTATCCAACCAGCCAGTTGTTTCATGTTTTTCTCTTCTGATGTGAAGTCTCTGCTAAGTGTTTGGAAAAGCTCATATGAGCAACAGCTGCACTTTGAGCTATAAATCTCTTCAAAGGTTCAGTTTCCTTGGTCGTGCCACAGGAGAAGCCCTTATAGCTATAACCACCCCCAGCCTGAGCTAGGCTGTGTCTCCCTAAACCTGTTTCATTTTACACAGAATAATCAAATATTCATTATGTGAGTAAGTGTGTGTGTGGCTGTTGCAGAGGGATTGGGGTGTTCACCTGGCAGATGAGAGACCCTGTTCCCAGTGACCACTCCAATGAATATTTAAGTACCACATATTAAGTATTCATTGGAGCAAGGATAGGAGCAGGCTTCTGCCACCCCCAAGGGAGCACCCAAACACGAGGCTGTAAAGTCATTCTTTCTTTCTTTCTTTAGCTCAATGAATATTTAATTATTCAAGGCCAAACAAGACAGCTCCAGTGGCAGAGACAGAGATTCCCTGCTCCTGTGTGTGCACCATAACCCCGATGATGAGGGCATGTATATAAGATGTAGCTTTGTATTTCTTTGGACTCAGAAAGAAGTGAAATCCAGGTTTTCCATAACCTGAATGGGGCTTCCAGATTCTTAGATGCTGAATGAAAAACACAGAACTCCAACACACACTGTCCCCAGTCATGAGACAGAGGTTATATGACCCCAGGATCAGAGAAAGCATCCTTATCAGTGATGAGGTTGGGTTTATGAATCTCTCAGGAGAAGGGATCAAAGACATTCCTCACCCTATGGCAGTTCCTGCTGGCTATGTAATATGTCTTTTGAGGTTATCCAGAATGTGATGTGTCAGAAAACCTATTTATCCCCTTTATTTTGGGGTCTGACACCCCCAGATTGCAGTCACTGGGATCTAATCCTGCTTCTGCAGCCCAAGCAGTGGATGTGTGAAATGGTGAGCATGGGGAAAGCATCCAATGAGAAGGAAAGGCAATGGCATTTGGGTCAAAAAAAGGATAAAAGTGGATAATTGAGGAGTAGAAAGATTAAAACAAGGAGAAGAATTGAAGTTAGAAGCATGCATTCACTGAGTGGGGGAACAACAAAGTGGTGGAAAAGGGAGCAGAGAGAAATGTAGAAGAAATAATAACCTTTACCTAGCAGAGGAGCAGAGGGGAGAGATGGAAAGGGCTAGAGAAGATTACTTCAGTCTTAAAAATAAAATGCTAAGAATCTCTACCCCTCACTTTGAAAAGCAGAAAAATTGCCATCTGCTCTCTACTGCCAGAGGGCAGTGGGTGTGTGAATCAAGGTTCTTTGGATTCACTTTGGGCAGTTGACTGTGGGAGCATTCCCATGCAGAACAGTGAGTTATTTCTATTATTGCAGCTCTGTTTCTTGTAATTTCAAAGAATCCACAGCATTATGATTCTGTTGTCAAAGACTAAATGTGGTTTCCAAGCAAAAGTCAGAGCAACATCATAATTGTTATATTGAAATGCAAATAAATTACCTTCTTGTACCCATCAGGAGTGTCCAAACCCAAGTCAGCTTCATAGTCCCAGTTGTTGAAATGATAATGCTGCATTCTGAATGGAACTGCTTAGCTCAGAACATTTCAAAGGTCTCCAAATGATATGGTTCATATATTTCACATCACATTTATGTTCTTCTAAGAGCAGCCCAAGGCTGTTGGGCAGCCACCTTCAGCAAATATTTGTTACAATTTAGAGAAACCCTTTTTGAACATTTTGCTGTCCATTGCTTTAACTATCCTTTTCCCTTAGAATACAGTTTAGAGTACTGCAGATCTATGGCAATGTAGGAATAACCCTTTTGTTTGGCTGTAAATATGACAGTGGTCTGTCCAAGCAGATGTGTTGTATATCATGTCCTTCGAGGGACACGGTAACACATCCACCAAAGATCAAAACTTCACCCAGATGCTTCACCCTGTTTGAGTGGTCACGTGTTCTGTGTTTTGATCAACTCTTTAGACAGATGACAGCAGCTCTCCTCCTTCCATACTGAGGAAAAGGCCACCTGTGGACCAAGCTGTGGGGGAGAAGCGGAGAGCAGAGCGAAGGGTTCGATTTCGTGAGCCAGAAGAAGTCATTGAACATGGTATGCTCAAGCTATCAGGAATTTTGGCATGACCTTTCCAGCTTTTAACATCCACTCTGTCTGTCTGCATCAGCTTCCCCCTCTGATAATTTGTGATTTTCAGCTCAGCACAAAGCAGAGGATGGATGATTCCTGCTCTGTGCTCTGCAGAACTGCATCTGGTCCATTTGCCTGCCTGCCCTGGGATGGACAGACTGCTGCCTCACCCTCAGCTGCTGTCACAGTGACTCCTGAGTCAGCCCCCACAGGGGTCATTGTACACCCTGGGCCTGGCTGGGCCCCAGGGCTTCCCCAGAGCAATGTTTCCACTCAGACCAAATTTAAACATAATTATGTCACTGTGTGTAACTAGGATGCCACAGAATACAACAGCAGAGGTCTGAGCCTAGCAGCCAGGATGTAATAACTTCTGCCAACAGAGGCACCCAAGGACTGACACAGCTAACAAAACCTCTGGTCTTTTCATTCATGAGCCAAAATATTGCAATTAGGTCAGTTGGGAGTGACCTTCAGCAGGGGTCTGGCACAAGGATCCAGTTTACACTTCTGCACTTATACCATACCAAATAATAATTTGTGTTACCTTCTGACTTTCCCAAACCCATCCAACCAAGAAAATGGTATTTATTGGTAGAGAACTAAACTTATGTGAGTTTGATATGTCAGTTGGTCAAAACACAAGTGGCAGAATGGTAACATTTCTGTCAGCCACCTGTTTGGACTGCTACAGCTTCTGAAAATAAGGCTTGGCATCTGCTGTGTCTATAAACAGAACTCTCATTTGATAGGCAATGCATTGTTTGGGATGTCTCCTGATGCATGGAGGGGAAGCTGTTTCTTGATAAGCTTGTTGACATGGCCTGGGCTTTCCCACCAAAACTGAACTCCTGGAGAGACTCAGGGAGTCAGCCTTAAATTCCTCAAAGCTCATCTGACTGCTCAAGAGCAGGAGGGAATTAATAACTCCCTCAGCTCTCTGCCAGAGTCCATGCCCCACAGCAGCACTGGGAATCCTGCAGCCAGCCCAGGGGGCCAGCCCAGTCTCCCCCTGGCTCTGACTTCAGCAGAGCCACACTGGAACTCATGCAGGGAGCTGCAGGCATGGAGAAAACTCTGAGACTCTTTCATGGAGACATGAGAAATGTTCCAACCCATAATTAGTATTCTGTGTTGCAAACAGTCTGTGATTTAGTTTATTTGCTGTTTGTCCACACAATATTACTCACATTAAGACTGGTAAAATGAAGGTTTCTGGCACCACTGAAATTTTTCCATTTCCAATCCAGGACTTTTCATCCTGGATTGTGTCTGGGCCTGGCTGCCAAGCAGACACATTTCCAGGATATTGTTGATTAAAGTTAGCCTGACAGTGCTTTCTTAACTCTCATTCTTTCAGCCTGCTGGTCTAAATCCTTTCCTTTCTAGGAATTATGTGGAGTAGGGAGGGGTTTCAGCAGAGCTGTTTCCTGACCTCTCTGCAACAGCAGCCATCCTGCCTCTGAATTCTCCCACACAATAATTTTTCCTCACTTTCCTGAAGTGCACCTGCATCTGCATGTTTGCATGGATTGGGTAGGTCCTCACCCAGAGCCAAAAGTGGTGTAAGAGGTTGCCCAGCATCTCCAAGGTGACAGGCAATTTCAGAGACACTGCTTGGTCCTGGCTTTTCTTGTTCACTCCCTGCCAAGAGACCTTTCCAGGCAAGTAAGAGCATTTTCATTTTGTTTTCTAGTAATTTCCTGCTGTGACTACGTAGTGGGTAAGTTGAATTTTTCACATTATAACTGTGAGCCATCCATAGCATTAACCTGAGTTTGCTTTTGCAGCTGGTGGGATGCACTGTGCAAATATACCCTCCATATGCACAGCAGCTTGTGTTGTCAGTGGTTGTTGCTTTTTCTTCTCAGCATAAGCAGCACAAGGTGCTGATGAGGTCTGGTGCAATTTTAAACAAGACATCTAGTAAGACAAATAGTGGAAACAAAAATTAAATCCCTGAAGCTATTTTTAATTTAAATATAATTAATATATTTTATGACATTCGAATAGGTACAGGTTTCTCACTAAGATATGCAGGGAAAGCACCCCAAGCTAAACAATAGTTCTCCCTGCTGAGTTTTGTATGAGGGGAAGAGACAATTCATTTATATGCTATCAGCAGGGTAGAAATAATAAAAATAATCAGGTTTTTTCTGATTTTTTTTTTTTGAGGTCTGGCAGCTTCACAGACCCCCAAGCAAATGAGTGTATGTGGCTATTCTGATGATGGTGATCATTTCTAGAGCCCTGGACAACATGCAGCCCCTGCTGTAAGCAGTGAAGGGGAGAGGGGTACCTGTACACATGTCTTATATACACACACAGAGCTGTAGTTTTGGGAGGACAAAAATCCTCTCAGGGAGATGTCCCCAGATCCCTCAGCTATTGCTCCTGTCCAGGAATGGGGGCTGTGTGCTCATGACAATGGTGGCATCATCTAAGGCTGTTATTGGGCTGGAATCAGGGTACTACAGCCAGAAAAGGGCCTGGGGGAAAAGCAAAGATCAAATATGCTTCAGGGCATGATAGAAATGTGTACCCAAGGCAAGAACTGAAACAAAATCTCCTGTATTCAGGTCCAGTGCTCTTCTCAGATGAGTTGCTATGAGACTGGGCACAGGTCTGTGCTCTTCCAACAAGCAATTTAACTAACAAATTTAAGCATTAAATTTCTAATTGTAATCTAGAAAAGCAAATTTGATTTTCAACACCTAAATGATGGGCTGAAGCTATTGTAAGCTTAACTCATCATAATTTTGCAAGTGGAATTACTCTTCTGCATTATTTTCTTCTGTTCATAGATAGAACATATTTCATAACTGAGAGGATATAAGGAAAGCCCAAGTTTACATTTGAGATCTCCCAGAAATTTCACATGGAAAGTAACTTTTTAAAAGTTGAAACAGGTTACAAGCACTTCATATGAAAGGGTTGATGTGAAAAGCTGTTCAGCTTCCACAGGAAGGTTTCCCCATTCCCATGTGTGCCCATCAGCCAAGGCCCACGTTGGAAAAGGCAGGTGGGGCACCCAGTCAGGGGCTGTAGCCTGTGGTTTGGGAATTCTCAAGAGGGAAACACCAACTCACAAATCTCTGCAAAACCAGAAAGTGGTGAGCAATTCCCTGGCTAAACACCTTCATATCAACCCTGCACAGAATAATGCCAAATAAACAAATTTATAAAATCTGAAGCCTGCACATGGATAATTTGAAAACAGAAAGAAGGGCTAAATTCAAATGAATAAATTACTTGCTGCAAATAATTCACTCAGGTCTATTATGGGACATTGATTTGGTTTCTGGTTAGCTATAAAATGACTGCCTATTAACATTTTACCTTTTCCCCATACACTTTTTGATACATTATTATGTGTTTCTGGCTTGGTTTTATGACTTTTACCTTCCTCTCTGTACATCTGTGTGACAGTTTAATTGACTGGTGTGTATTCCAGGGCTCGGAATAGAAGCTAATTTAAATATGTTACAGCTAATGTTGGCCCTTTACCCATAATAATACACTCCACATTTTTATCTCCTTATTGATTATGTGCATATGGCAGGAAAATAGCTGCACACTATGGGTTTTATTCAGGCATGACTTTGGCTTTATACTGCATGTTTAATACTCTAAGTGCTTTATGAAATAGTGCCGAGTGTGCAATGGCCATGCAGTCAGACAGAGCAGCCAGGGCTGAATCAAAACTGGATCCCCAAGGCCCAGGGATGGATACACACAGGCAAGGACTGGGACACAGCTGTCAGCAGGCTGAATGCAGCCTTCTGATTTCCACATGTGTGCTGTGCCCAACCTTTAAAAATGTTTGAAAAATATTTTGAAGGCAGGAAAAATCTTTACAGTATGCTCTTGCTGAAGAGCAAGTGCAGAGGATCTTGTGGTGTAATTAGCACACAGAGCACTCTGAGAGCGGTTCAAACTGCCAGAGCTTTCTGAACTTGCCTCTTAGTTAATGGAGCCATGTTTGGGTTCTTCCCATAATTAGCAGGAGGCCCAAACAAGCTGACTTACCAGGGAAAAGGACAGAAATCTATAGCTCCTGTCTTTTATGGGGCATTTGTGAACATTAAATAATTAGACCAAGTAGCTTCATATTCTCCTATCATTCAACTTAACATTTAGGGTAAAGGTATAAAAAATAATTGCTGTAGGGGAAGTTGAGATCATGCATTAGCTATGCTAATCCTGTTCTTATTGTATGTAATTAAACTCTTTAAATGCTCCATTAGATGATATCTTTCATGCTCACCACCTTCCATCAGGAGGTGTGACTCACTATCACTTAACTGATGCCTACAGAAGTGCTCACAACCAGAGCCCTCTGTACCCTGCTGCTGCCACAAAACTGGGACAAAGGCATCAGCAGGGGATCAAATCTGGGAAGTGTTTAAGATGGCACTAAAATAATGCTGCTTCCTTTTTTTCTTCTCATCACCATTCAGCAGATGACAGGACATCATCTGGGTTGCCTGTGCTCCTGTGGCTCTTGCTTTGTGCAGTGCTGATCCTTGCTGTGAGTCTCTACTACACCAGCATGAAGCAGGATGTCACAGTCCTGGAGGAATTTCAATCCCAACTTGTCATCTTCTTTCTTCACCTAAGACACGTTGCTCAGAGGTGCTGGACTTGGTTTCTGAGGCAGTAGCAGCATCCTCCAGCCTGACACTGCTAAGAAACATCAATGCAAAGCTCCCAGCCTACTGCAGCCACATGCAAGGAACACATGAGCATCCACCTCAAAGAGCAAGGAAATCACCCCTGCTGTGCACCATCCAGCAAACACTTGTTCTCCTTTTTCCTTCTTTGTTGTTTTTCTTTGTTTCACATCAATGGACATTCATACTAAGCCTTGAGGTCCCACCAAACTCATGCTACATCATCCTGAACAGCAAACAAGTATCTGGATTTGGTTACCCAGAGTTTATAAGCTGCTGATATGAGGAGCAAAAGCAGAGAGAGGAATACATTGATCTGTGCAGGCAGCAGCAAACTCAGAAGAAAAGTCTTGTGAGTCTTGGGTCAAGACTTTAGATACCAAACCATCTTTCTCCTCAAGTCTCCAAAGAATTACTCTGCAAAGGTTAAAATAAAGCTGAGCTATTGCACAGACACTGCTCTGGTGGCCAAAGGCTCGGCAAGCTGCTATATTTATACATCTGAAATGATTATTAGTAAAATCACAGCAAATGATTTTCTTGTTTCCTTTCATGAATTTTATTCATCCACGGGCAAAAGCTGGTTCGTAATGCTTCACTTGACTCCCAGGTGTGGAAAAGAACATGGAAACTCATTTCAACAGAAAATAGTTTATTTGCCTAACATAATAAATAGCAGCATTGAAACCCAGGTTAATCATCAAAACAGTAGTTTAATCCTCTGGGTTTGATTCAGTCCATAAACCCCACAGGCTGACATGCAAGATTTATGATAGTGCTTGTATTCAGACAGGTTATGCCTGAGTATCCAAGGCCTTATATCATGATAATATGGACTGCTTATGAAGGTGTTGGATGCACAGTTCCTTTATCATTGTCCCACCACACTATGCATTTCTCTGAAAGGAGAAATCCTTGTAATGGAGACCATGTGAAACAGTGTTCTGGGCATCTGAGAGGAGAACAAATGACTGCAAGTTCTTGAGCTTCAAAGAACCAGCACAACCAGCTTTTTAGATCTTAGATTCTGCTCAGCTAGCACCTGATGTGTGCTTGGGTTTATTTTGTATGGTAAGATTGACATCAGAACCTGTAAGTAAAAGAAAAAGGGAAAAAAAAGGGGGGGGGGGGGGGGGGGAAACACTGCAGAGAAGATGAAGAGATGTCTGCAAGACCTTGGTTTATATTCCCCCTGCCATTGCAACCATCAAAAAGCAAAAATGGTGCTTTATTTCTAGTTATTTTTTAAACAGAGGGCCATACATCTGCCCCAACAACCTTCTCCCAAGCAGCCCAAGAACTTTAACCAGGAGAGGATAAACAGGAACACGACCTGCAACCTTCTGTCAGGAGAAGAGGGGGCAGCAGCTTGATTGAGGACAAGTCAGAAACATTTCAGCCCAAGACATAAAGTGCCTTCAGTGGGTGCTCTCCTGCCTCTCCTAAGCTGTCAAAGCCACAGGCAGGCATTGGACACAGCTGGCCTGGGAAGCAGAGGGTGCTGCAGGAGCAGGGTTTGCCCCAGGAGTTGTGTGCAGATCTCTCAGGTACCCCAGCTCAAAGGGTGAGTCCCACCCCTGCTTCCCTCCCCTCTACCCTGCCTCAGTCCTGCTGTTGAGGTAATAAACAAGAAAGGTTTTAAACCTGTGTGCTGGTGAATCTCTGGGGAAAAGGTTTAAATTGGTACCTGCATGGGGCAGGGGGGTGATTTCGACTTCTGTTTGCATTTTTTGAATGTTTGTGATCTTTTTAATGTCCATGTTGAAACTCTTTGGCAAATCAGTGGTGATTCTTTCTGGCTCTGGACTGACTCCTCTTAGGACTGTGAGGGAAAATGTGAGGACCATCCATGTGCTCACCTTCCTGCACAGCTCCCCAGGGCATGGAGAGAGGACCACCTTTACACTGAGCCTGCTGCAAAAGGAAAATGTCCACATTCTTCTTGTTGGGGCACAATTTATTGGTGTGAGGGAGAACTGCTATCACATCTGGGCTGTCAGGGATATTCAGCAGAGGAACAGCTATTTTTGGCTTTTGTGTTGGCTCTGTTTGGGACTGTTTTGGGCATGGGAAAAGGCACCTCTCGAGTTATCTTGAGACCACTGTTGAGGTCTCACCATGGCTTTAAAAGGTCTCCTGGGTCAGGATTGTTTACTGTGCTCAGTCAGATACTTGGCAGGCAGCAGAAAGCCAAACTAAAATTGCCTTGAAGCCAGAAGGTTTGAAATAAATGAAAGCTAAAACCTGTTTCTGGCAGAGCAGTGGCATCTTGTAGGTGAAGAAACTGAAGCTAAGAAAGCCATTGCATGTGGGAGTGAATGAAGTGGGTCAATAACATGACTGGAAATAGGAGAAAAATTCCAGCTCGTGGGTCTGCATTTCTTTACTGCTGCACAACATCACTGTGGACTTACCTCTTTTATTTCCTTCTCACAGTGAAGCTCTTTTTCCATTCACCCACACTGCTTAAGCACACACAACCCCCTTTCCCTCTCTGCCCCTTCATTCTTTAGCCATCACAGCTTTATCCTCATCACTGTGAGCTGGATGTGATTTCTCCTTATTCTTGTTCAATGGTTTTTTTTCTGGGTGTGACACCTTTATGAGTTTGGCTCTCTAAAGTTAAATAAAATTATCTGTGTTGGGTAATAATCCCCTTGCTGGCCATGCTGGGTAATATTTTCCTTTGGTACAACTCTTGAGAATTTCCCAATAGAGGATAAAAAGGAGAGAGAATACATAATTTATTGCAAAAAGTGGAGATGCTCACCAGAATTCACATTGGAGCCAGCATGGTGAATTGCTTCAGAAGTCAAAAGTGCTGCAGCCAACCAGCTCTGGGCAATTGTATAATGAATGTAATTGTACTGCAAATATATGAATTGTAAAGGGCTGTGTTTTAGACATAGAGGGCTGAAAGAGGGAGTGATGTAGGGCAGGGCCCGTGGGGCAGTTTTTGAAGCAGACAGTGGTAGGAGGCATTCCCAGGAGCAGTGTCAGGAGACAAAGGGCAGGGGAGAGCAGCAGGTGTCTGTGCATGACAATGGACTAATGGCAGTCCCTAGTAGGGGTAGAAGTGCTGCTTTAATTCCCTGATGCAGGGAGTATGTAACTAACACACAGCAGAAACAAGCAGAGCACAGCAGAAGGGTAAGTGTTGTTTTGACAGTGTTCAGCACATTCCTGCAGTGTGAACGGATGGAGGGCAGCTGCCAACACCCTCTTCAAGCACATCGACAGCATCTGATTGCAGCAGCACTATCCACACCCACAGGATCAGAGGAGATAGAAAAAGACACACAGAGATGACACTGGATGGTTTTGCATTAACCTTTTGATGCACTCAGCATTAGCACCAGTGAAAGGCAGTCCCAAAGACTGCCTCGAGTCCCCTTCCTTCCCTTCATCTCCTTCAACCCTGATAGTCTGGAAATGAGCCCATAGCAGCAATTGTAATTGTCATTTCTGCCTTTTGCCACTTAGAAACAAGCAGAAGAGCTGGCAGCTTATGACCATAAATGGGTGTTACCAGCTGCCCTCAAGGAATAACTCAGGAACCTATAAGATAATAGTGTAGACTTGTTTCTTATTAATTCTTTGCTCCAAGATAGCTGTTGGGAACCTTTATGCTCACCTCTGAAGAGAAAGACTGATGCTACATGAGGGAAATTAACCAGCTGGCATTTGGAAAAACGGCCTGTCCATGCAGCCTGTGGTCTCCCCTTACATTTGGTAACAAACCAGCTGCATGCTGACACAGGACCATTTTCTCCTTGTCTCCAATGGAATTAGGGTGAACTGTTGGAAGGGGATGCCAAAAGGGCTCAGGCAGCTGAGGATGGCTGGGCAGACCCTTAACTACACAAGTTGTGGCATGGAGAGGCTGGGGAATGACTACAAAGACTCTACCACTGACTTTGAGAACATATTTTTATCTTAATTGTAACAATTTAAACTCACCTTCAAAGAACAGGCACAGAAACAATGAATTTTCAAATAATTTATTTTTATATTTCACCAAATCATAAAAAGCCGATGCACTGTTCAGCAAAAAGCATCAATATATAAAACACATTAACTCTTTATCAGTAATGCTGGAGAGTACCACATACACTGAACCCAGTCCAGCTCCTACTAAAGCCACAGGAAAGTCAGTGACTGCACTAGCAGAAGGATTGGATTCAGCATTTTTCTTTGCTGGGTGTTTACAAAGGGCTGTATTAAAATGCTAGTAAAAAGCTTCCCTTTTGAGACTGTATCAAAACAATAATAAACCTCACTCCCTTTCTGGTTTTGTCAGACACATGCAATTGAAGCAGTCATTACACTGCAAAGACCATACAAATAAACAGAGATAATATTCAAAACAGGCCAGGCTCTACCCTCAGCTTGTGTGGACTGGTGTGGCTGCTCACAGGATAATCTATGTACACTGGTGAGGGATCTGCTCCTCAACTGCTTTCAGTGGTTAAACAAATTATGAAAAAGTGTTCTGTTTTCTCCCCAAATACCCACTGTAGGAACCTCTTAAGCAACATTAAAAATTTTTTAAGACATTGAAAATTAGATAATCTAGACTCTTATAAAGCTTTTCCCAGGTGGCTGTAAGAGACAGGAGCTCATGAATTCATACATCAGAGAACACATATTTCAGAGAGGCTGAAATGCTTTCAGGCTCTGCACTCACTTATAAGCAATAAAGATCTGCTTCAGATCTTTGCAGGTGGTACCACACAAAACCACTAAACCTTTTAAAACTATGGGTGCTAATGAGCTGTCCTCACAAATGCCAACTCTACAGAGATTTGGGAACAGCCATTCCTTCCCTGGGCAAGTCAAGAGCTGCACTGGGCAAAGGGCAGCAGAGTATCTGGATCTGCTTTCCTCCAAACCTGGTGGCAATGTCAGCACCTTTACAGCAGATTCCTGCACAGCTGGCACAGGTGGCTCTCTCCAGAAGCTGACTTTGGGTCATCACATGCCTCAAGAG